ATTGAGGTAAGTGCCAATGATGGCTACAGTACAGAGGAAAAAACAAAAACAAAAACAAATGTAGGAGTCTACACTATTTGCGATTCTCCCCCCTAGGAAGCCAGATAACAGGAAATCATAAAGATCTGTTATTCAAAGACATACATGATCCACAAATGGAGGGGAAAGGACTTTACTACCACAGAGAACTCTTTGCTATTAAGAAAACAAAATGTGTCAACAGCATGAATAGCAACACTTTCCTTAAAGAGATCTACTTAAAGCAGTATCTGAAAACACTCCATTGCACACTCAACTGGATACCTATTAGAAACTAACAGGCAGTCAATAAGTATTTTAAGTGAATTTATTCTAAAATCGGTAAAAATCGAGTGTTTCCAAAGGAGTTATCACTTTGAAAAACTCAAACAACGTCATTCAATAAATATAAATCCAATGCTTATGCCAGGCACCAAGCAAAGATGAAAAGTGATCCCTCATGCTCTTCACAAAGGGAAGGACAGCAACAGGCAACATACTGAGTGCCCGATCCATAATGCAGTACATGCCACAGAAGCCTATGGGTAAAGCATCAGGTCCACTAGGTGGACGCCTCTCCCTCTACCATTTTTCCAGTGGAAAAGAAACTTAAGTGACTTTCAAGTATCTCTTACAAGCATATTTTTAGGTGACTATATACACCAGCGTTAGCAAAAGGGTAATGGAAGATTTATGTCTGTGCTGCTATACACTCATGTCTTAAATTATAAGCCAAAACATCACTGGTGCAAATATTCCTGACTGCACAGTGAAAGGTTAACCAAAAGCCCAAAAACTAAACTGATAAAGATGAAGCTAATAGTAACTTCAAGGGGGATGCGGGAGAGGAAGCACAATGGGAAACTAAGATCCATTTGAGACAATACTGAGGATGATCCTAAATAAGCATCCTTCCTGAATATGGCAGGAACCCCAATTCTGCATATGACACGTAAGAAGCTCTGTACTGGTGCCAAGTTTCCCAGGACAGACTCTGGGAGACAACAGTAAACTCTAATGTTACACTAGTTTTGGTTTATGAATACCATGTTTCAGTAATTCTTAACAATTCACTTGGCAGGTTATTAATAAGTAGCCCTGAGGCATATGTAAGTATGAACAACTATGAAGCAATAAGAACTGAAAAAAGAAGCTGTACTTCTCACAAAGAAGGGTGGAGTGGGAGCCATACTTGGGAGAGTCACTGCATTAGGGAGCCCAGGAGAGGAAACTTAACTCTTCAGGAGCTAGAAGGGGTAAGAAAAAACTCAACACTGAAACATTAAACTGAGGTAATAATAAACTTGCCAAGTAAGGTATTTCAAACCTTCTATTTGATGTGTGTAAGATCCATGAAATTATGCCAGGAAATTATAATTTCAAGCAGCAAGAAAGCTACATGCAGGGTTCATTCATTAGCAAACTTAAAATATGCATCAATTCTTTGCTTTTTCCAATGCATTCTTCATTTTCAAAAGCTCTGAAAGGGAGAAAGGAGAATATTCTCTAACAGCCAGCCTCTATTTGTAAAATGTTTGCCTCATTTAGCCTTGTATATATCACACAATTATATACAGTTATCTATAGTTAAATATGCTTTTACATATTTAATCAGCAAGCACTCTTTTGAAATGGACACAGTAAAATTTAATATGTACCTTTTTTCCTAATCATATTTCAAAAGCTTACTTATTAAATAGATAAACCAAAGGGAAAATATTCATTCTTTTACCCTCCTAAAATTGTGAAAGTCTCCTTCTAACCATTGTGGCTAAGACTTAGCATTCACTATTTCCTGACTATTCTGTTTCAGTTTTCTAAATTGTACACAGGAAAAAACTATCCACACTCAATGGTAAATGAAAGAATGCCAAATATTTGAAGAGAAGCTGAACTGATAGTTTACTACCCCAAAGTAACTCTTTGAAATAGAGTGCTGGTCCCATTGTGGTTCCCATCCGTGGTGCCTAACGATTTTCCATTCACTTTTCAGCCTTGTGACTATCACACCTACTTTTCAATATCCGACCACAAAGCGGAACACTTCCAATTTAAACCAGTAATAGTCATTACCCTCCTTAGGAATTGCTAATAATTTCTCAAACTGTATAGATATTAGAGTATCAAGGTGAGTTGTATTTTAAAGGATGCAAAGGGACTTCTCTCTTCATTAAAGAAATTACTTCCCATAATTTTTGTAATAATTGATAGACGGACTTAAACTCACGAGTAGAAACAGACTGTTGTAAATGCATTTTAGGAACACACAACAATTTGTTATTCTCTTGCCAAAGCATACTGTAGAGTTGTTGTGTTTCCCTATTCACTATAGAATAATAAACTTTTACACACAATGCTGTTTTTATTTCCTCTTGATTCTTGGCCAATTCACTGAGGGAAAAGTCATTTTGTTGACAAATCAGAAAAAGTCCACACAGAGTATGCTGGAACACTTCCTAATTAATAACTTAAAAATAATCATGGAGTACAGAAATAATGAAGGGTTTGTGAAAACAGCAAAAGCAGGACAGAGGCATTAAGCAGTAGGTCAGGACAGCATGTATCCTGGGAAATCAGGAGTTCATAAAATCACCAGTTTTTTTTCTTTACGACCCATGGAATACAAAATTAGAAAAACAGGAAATGCAAGCCAGCTTTTTGTAAAGAAAGAAACCCAAAGAACAAAAACAATCACCAAAAAAAAAAAAAAAAAAAAAAAAAACCAAACCTGAAAAATCACAAATCACCCAAACATTTGGACAATCAGCTCTAGCAAATGCCAGTAACCAAACGTTAGGAACATGTCATACACGGACACAAGTATCTTATAACCTCATAGGGGGAGCTACAAAGCAAGATGTCATTCCAGGAAATGCAAATTATATATATATGGTGAGAAATTAAAGAGAACCACTGTGGAAGAGAAATTTAAAAGCAATTGGTAATGTGCCTCATAATCCGTTCGTTTGAAGTCACCATAGAACACAGAAAGGCATTAATACTCACGGGAAGAAAAATAAAAGGTCTCATCTACAAAATCACAACTGAGAAGCAGCACGATATTCACTACAAGTAGATACCCAAAGGTCACGAATACACACACACACACACACACACACACACACACACACACGGGAAAAGGGGGGCGGGGCGGTGGTGGTTTATAATACTGAGACCAAATTTCAGCCGTCAGAGAAAAACTTTCTGGAGGAAAAGAAGATCATATTATAGTGCTACCTCCTGCCAGCACCATCAGAAGTTCAAAGTCAATTAAAACTCTGGGAGCAAAAAACCGGAAACCCCTGCCCTCCCGTCTGAAGCAGGGGTTTAGATCCTGGTGTGACCTAGAAAGGCCGGAACCTGGAGGTTCCCAGTACAACATGGCTCCCAGCACCATAGGTGATCAGCAACGGTATTAATGCTAATCCCCTACACCTACGTACTGCTTGCTTTACGGTCCGGGAAGCGCCTTCGCGTCCATTCAGTCTCACCCCCTTTGGTGGCAGAATCGCAGTCCTCCGCTTTCACACGGCTTGTGGCTCGCCAAGTCTCTGCACACACCGTGCCGTTTTGCAGAAGGGACGCAAGAGACTAAGCTGCTCTCCTAAGATCCCGCCCGCGGTAGGCGAGGGGCCTGGGCCACTGTGGGGCTCGACCGAGTCGCTAACACGCACAAGACACTTCCAACCTCGGAAAGTTCAAAGTACAGCACTCCGGGGGGGGCAGCCCCATTCGGACGGCTCCGCAGAGCGGAACTGCACGGGCTCGGCGAACCCTCCCCGAGAGCCTCGCTCTGCCTCCTCCGAGACAGGGACACCGAGGCACCAGGTGGGAACCCAAGCCTGTGCAGCGGCACTCGAGGGCGCCGCTGCGACCGCCCTGCCGTTGCCCCCTCCCCATTCCCCGCCCGGCTTTCCGGAACCGCTCAGCACCCGCCTCGTCCCAGGGCCCTTCCCCGTTCTTCACATCGGGCCTCCCGACTAAGAGAATCCGCTCGCTCTGGCCCCGCTCCTGGGCCCTCTCCCCCGGGGCCCCTCCGCCCCAAGGCATTTCTGCGTCTCCCGGGGAAGGAGGGTCCGACTCCCGCCCGTGCCGCCCCAACCTTAAACTCCACAAAAGAAACCCCTCCCAAAGCCTCCCTCAGTTACCCCTTCCGTCCAGGACACTCCTGAGGAGCACCCCTCCCAAGAGGGAGCCTCCCAAGAGCTGCCTGCCTCTCACCTGGGCCGCTTTAGCCGCGGCCTCCTCGGAGGGGCGACCCTCAACAACCTCCGCCTCCGGCCACGAGCCCCCTGGAGGGGGAACACCCTCTTCCAGGTGCCTCCTCAGGCGCCCTCGCCGCGGCCTCAGTGGAGGACCTCGGGCTGTTTCCTGGGCTCTGCCCAACGCCACTCCCTCCCGGGCCCTCACAGAGCCTGCCCTGGCCCCCGTCGGGTCTCCCCAGCGCAGACTCGGGCGGCTGTTCCCCTCCCTCACCGACGTCCCCAGCCCTCGGATTGCCCCCCGCTCCGCGTCCCCACTGGTTTCCCAGAGCAGCGCGGCCGGGCTGTGGCACTGACTTCTCCAGCTCCCGGGCCCACCCGAGGGAGGGGGCGGCGGCGGCGGCGGCGGCGGCAGCGGCGCGACTCCTTTGTGACAGGTCCGAGAGAGCGGTAAAGATGGACGCGAGGCCACGGCGCTGCCATTACGCGCTGGGGCCCACCCCCGCTTCGCACCGCCCCTGCCCTCCCTCGGTCCCCTAGGAAACGCCCCCTCCTCGGTGGCAAGCCCTCTCCCTGGAAGCCAATCGTCTCTCAGGAACGGTGCCACGTGATCACACGCTCCGGCCCGCCCCCCAAGCGCGAACTGGCCAATCCTCTTGCTGAAGTGGGAATGGCCCAATCAAGTCTCTCCGCCTAGCCTTCGGGACACCGGATTTCCATCTGTCCCCTGGGAAGAAAGAGAGGTGCGGATTGGGTTACGCCGCCGGAAGCGGGGCGGAACTGTGTTGTGGCGGTGAGGAAGAGGAAGCCCTGAAGGGTCAAAAGGAATACAAAAGCAAAGGCTGTTTTCTTTCTTTTCTTTTTTCCTTCTTTCTTTTTCTCTCCCCCCCCCCCAAAGAACGAGTGGCCTTAGCGGTGGCGGTTTGGGGTGGGCGCCGCCGAGGTGAGGGGGTCTCGCCTCCCGCACGCTGGTAGGTGAGTGCGGCCTGGGCCCTGGTCTGGCGGAGAGACCCGGGCTCCAGCTTCTTCTCTGAGGACACGGGGGGCTACGACTGGTGTGAGGGATTGGGCCAGGCCCGCCCTCAGTCTGCGCCCTCGCCCAGTGTTCTGAGTCACTGGGGTCAGGGGCTTGCTGGGGCCCAGCCAGGGGGCAGCCGAGGGAGCCTGCGGTAGGGCATCCCAAGCGGGATGTGGGGAAGCATCCCGACCCCTCCCAGCGGTCTCGGGACTTCGGGCCTCTTCCTGGCTCTCTTCCACCGTTTCTGCTAAGTGGGGCCACCCCCCAGGCTCCAGGAGCGGGCCGGGCTCCTCAGGAAATGTGGGAGTCCCTGGTTGGAAATGGTTGAATCCCAGAACGCAAGTGCAGGATGGGAAACGCATTTATTATGTACCATGTACCGTTTGCTGTGCTCAGTGCAATTTCTTCTAATAGATAACAAACCAGCGTGCTCGTTTTGGAAAAAACAAAAACAAAAACAAAACCCCAAAAAACAAACCCAAAACCAACCCCCCCCCCCAAAAAAAAAAAACCCAACAAAATAAACAGCTTAGGAAACTAAGACCATGGGTGGAATGACCTTGTTTGAAAGTTGCCCACGTGAATGTCTGTGCACACAGGTGTGAAGGTGGAGACCTACTAAGAGCAGTGGTTCTTAGCCTAGTAGAAAATACGATCTTCTGACGTCCATTTAAATACAGATTCTCTGACCCTACCCCCAGATAATCTGACTGAGTAGGTCTGGAGTTGGGACCCAGGGAAGCCAGCGCGTTTGCGCCTGGTGGTCAGAAATCCCGATGACCTGTTGTGTATCAGCTGTGAGGTAAGAGTTGTTCATCTTCAGCTGTTTGGCTTATTGATGAGTTAACAGGGGCCCCATAAAATGGTTTGGAGGGCACTGCTTCTGAAGTCCTTGAAAGGAATTCGTGTTTATTCTCCTTTTTGATACAAGGAATTGAGCTGAGATAAAGGCAGCTTTCGCAGTCTTTCAACTGGAGCATGAGAGGAGCCGTTAGCAATTTCTAGGAGTCTGAAAGCAGAGGCTGGCCACTTATTTTTCTCAGCTGACGTGTTGGTGCGTTAATTCCTTACAACCAGGAAGAACAACGTCAAGACCATTTACGTGGTTAGTAGCCTTTCCTTTCACCTTCTAAGAGTCTTGATGTTTGGTTAGAGTTAAGCTGCTACCTCATACTGAAAACTGCATTGCTGGTGAGTGAGGTTATTGAAGTGTGTGGTTCCACCAGAGGCTCAATCATACTGTAATTATACCTTTGGGGCAGCTGAATCAAATAGCTTCATTGTGCTCCCTCTTGATCACCTTTTGAAGATTCTTTGTCTTCAGTTCTTAAATATGGTCATTTTCATTCTTTATTGTGGGATGTGTTTTAAAGATAGTTCTTTGTTTTTGGTTTTCTGCATTTTCATGATATATCCAACTGTGTGTTTTTGTTGTATTTGGTGTTTATCAGACTTTCAATTTGTGGATTAGTGTCTTTCATTACTTGTGTAAAATTCTTGAATTTACGATCGTATATTGCATAAGCCCCATTGTTTGTTGCCTTTGCTAATTAAACACAGACCTTTTTCACTCTAATGTATGTCTCTTACTCTCTTTTTATTTTTCCATTCTACATCCTGCATAATTTCTTCTTCATTCTCATATTATTTCTAATCTGTTACGATACCCTTGCACTGAAAACTTAAATTCAGTTATTGCTTTTTTTTGGTTCCTGAGGTTCTGTTTGGTCCTTTTTCAAATATGCCATGCCATTCATTGCTTTACAGTTTCTTATTCTCTGCTGTTAATTTTGAGGCTCAGTTTTTATTTCTTTAAACACAGTAAGCATTTTTTTTATGATGTATGTGTGTTAATCCCACTATGTGAATTCCCTTTTGGTTTGTTTATTTATTTACTTTAAATATTTATTTATTCATGAGAGAGACAGAGAGAGGCAGAGACATAGGCATAGGGAGAAGTGGGCCCCTTATAGGGAACCTGATGCGGGACTCGATCCCAGGACCCCAGGATCACAACCTGAGCCGAAGGCAGATGCTCAACCGCTGAGCCACCCAGGTGTCCCCTTTTGGGTTTATTTCTTTTGCTCATTATTCCTGCAGTTTTTCTTTCCACTTCACCTTTACCTTGAGTTCTTTGGGGGGTATGAGGTTCAGATGGAGAAGGAGGTGGTTGTCAGACTATAATCTGTGGATTCCTGGCTTTGACTTTTGTTTCTATTACTTCATAAGGTTATCAGAACAGCAGTTTTCATGGTCATAGAAATCCTCAGTAGAAAAACCAGTTTGAATATTGGGCTTAATTTCTGGTATCACCTTTTCTTGGGTTTTGGCCAAATTTTTTACTATCTTGTTAGCTTTTCTGTTTAAGAATTATTTTATTTTTTTAGATTTTAATTTATTTATTCATGAGAGACGGGGGGTGGGGGGGGTGGGCGGGGGCGGGCAGAGACACAGAGGGAGAAGAGGCTCCCTGCAGGGAGCCCGATGTGGGATCTGGGACTCGATCCCCTGTCTCCAAGATCATGCCCTGGTCCGAAGGCGGCACTAAACCGCTGAGCCACCCGAGCTGCCCTGAGAATTATTTTAAAAATGTCTTCCATCGTTTTTGTTCTATCATAGAGGTAGAAGATTGGTCTCAACTTCCTAGGCCACTATTTCTGGAAATGAATGCCTGCTTGCTTTTTTTTCTTCTATTTCTCTTTTAATTTGTCTTTAAAACATTTTTTTTTCTTTTTTAGAAGGGAGGTAGGGAGTAGCCAAGGGGGAGAGAGAGAATCTTAAGCAGGCTCCATCCTACAACCCTGAGATCACCACCTGAGCCAAAATCAAGTCAGATGTTTTTTTTTTGTTTTTAAAGATTTATTTATTTGACACATCTAGAGAGAGGGAGAGTGAGCACAAGCAGGGGGGGCAGCAGGGAAAGGGAGAAGCAGGCTTCCTGCTGAGCAGGGAGCCCAACATGGGGCTTGATCCCAGGACCCTGGCATCATGACCTAGACGGAAGGGAGATGCCCAGCTGACTGAGCCACCCAGGCACCCCAGGAGTTGGGTGCTTAACCGACTGAGCCACCCAGTTGCCCTAGCCCCCTTTCATTTTTATTTTGGAATGCAAATTTGTGATTTCAGGGAATTTTGAGTTAAAGATCATTTTTCTCTGTATACCTAAAAATTCCACACTGTTCCCTCTGCAGTGTCACAGCCACTGTCAGTGGTAAGCTTCCCTAATGCTTTTTTCTAGTCTTCCTTTTGTGAACCCCTCAGTGCTTTGCTTCTTTATTATAGCATTTAACTTCCTTCTTCTTTTCCTAAAATTGCTTATGTGCCAACCTTATCTCTTTTCCTGAAGGCAAGTTCCTCATTTGCTAAAAAGTGGAGTGCCAGTTGAGCACCTAGCACTCTGCCTTGTACATAATAGATCCCCTGTGAAATTTACTTCCACAATACAACTGAATGAGTTAGTTGGCCTCGTGTGGTTTGTGTACTGCAAACCCTTTTTTTCCCCTTAAGTTCTGTCTTAGGAGTTACACAAAACCTAGTGGGATGAAGGTGTGGGGGGATTATAATTTAGTGTGTGGGCTAGGTTCCAAAGCCAGCCCAGATGGTGAAACTGTATAATCAAAGCTGCCTTCGAAAATCTTCTAGGGAGGCATCATATTGGATGTAGGTATATCGGCACAGCAAAATTCCAACATGCCCAGGTTTTCTTCCAGCTTTGAAACAGATGCTGTTTTTCTTCCTTTGAGCCTCAGGTGAAGCAGCTGGTTTGCGTTTAGGAGTCATAATGGTTTTTTTTTTTTTTTTTAAATACGACTAATATTAGAATCATACATAGTGAGGGAAATGCTTCTACAATGAGAGGCACACATGAATTGGAGAACTGAGGATCAGGCAAGGGGATCAGTATTTTAAGTTCTCATTTTCTTCCAGTGCATAAAGATGAATTCAGGGTACGAGCACAAACGATAAGACTGTTCTTGTGCTCTGGAAAGCTAAATGTATATATAGGTTTGCTTTAAAAAAATTTTTTTTAAAGATCTATTTATTTATGATAGACACACACAGGGAGGGAGGGAGGGAGAGAGAAGCAGACTCCATGCCGGGAGCCGGATGCGGGACTCGATCCCTTTGGGCCAAAGGCAGGCGCCAAACCGCTGAGCCATCCAGGGATCTCCCCCCCCAAATTTTTTTTTATTGCATGTGTTTTTTTAGATTGTTTGGACAACCAGAAGATTACTACAAATTGCTCTTTATGATAAACATTTTAAATATGAATGAAATTGCTTATGCTGTCCGCTGGTGTTTAGGTTCTTTTAGTCTCCTTTGCTACTGGATGGAGTATGTTAAATAAGCCTGAGTGTTAGATTGAGGATTACTTTGTCTAGTAATAAGTACTAGTAGTAGTCTTTGTTAGTAGTTGTCATGCCCTGAAGTTTTAAAATCTATAGAGAAAGTCCTCTTGATTTGCATTCCCGTGGCTTGGTACAAGTGACTTCTGGCCAGAAAGCTACCTATCTGGAATATAGTAGAGTTTGCCAGATGGCAGATTCCTCTTAATTGCTGTCCTGCATTTTGAAGTCCCATGTGATTTAAATATCAGGGTAAAAATGTTGGAAGAGCAGTACTTAAGTATATTTACTGACAAAAGGAAAGTGGATTGGCCTGTTGTTTTGCTACCCAAAGAGAAGGCTTAGAACACCATAACACAGAAATCCGATTCCCCTTGGTGTATTTTTATACTGCAGTCTATCTAACGCTAGAATTAGGAGGGGGTAGCAGCCGGTGATGTAAACACTTAAGTAGTCTGCCATCACAGAATTCAATTGCATGGGAAACCAGATATTATTAACTTGTATCATGGCACTAGCTAAATGGAATAATTTTTCAAGTCTGCAATAGCAATTAGTTTGGGGGGAACAATGTAAGTTTTCTATTTTATATGGCATGCGGTGTAAGACACTGAGCCCATTTTGTCCCACCAACCTGGAAATTAAATACCACAGTCTCCAGTACAAACACAGGAGTGCAGTGTTTAACAGTTACTTTGGCTTGAAATATAAGAACTTTGTTTTTTTGGCTGTTAAGCAAATTTGAAAACTATGTTCTTTATTTGTGTCGGTTTGAAACTTTTAAGTTTGGACAAAGTGATCTTGGTATGGTTTTGGTTTTTCCATGAATTCCCTAATTGAGGAACTTAACTAATCCTTTTTAAAATAGTGTAATGTTTAGTTTGATAATTAAACTTGAATCACCTTGGAAATAAAAAAGCTGTGAGTAAATGAAAATTGACAGCGTGTATTCTTTTTACAATTAAGCACACTGAACAAAATTAATATTCCCAACATAAATCCTCTTCATTTCTACATGACTCTTTATGGTCCCATCCCAGACCCCTGGACTTTGTGTTTTGTTTTTAATTTTTCTAGCAAATGAAGGGGGAAAATTAGAGACTTGTGAAAATTTAGTGGGTAGTAGGAATTAGAAATAAAGTTTAATTTTCAGTTTTTTCCTGCTTCCAGAAGGAGGTAAATGAGCTGCAGGTACTCATCACCTCTCTTTTGGAGAATAAACAACCAATGAAAATTAAGCTCTTGAAAGAAAAATGCTTTGTGTGGGCAACACTTATTCCTCAGTGCAACAGAGCATTTTTTAGTCAGTTGAAATTAAAGGAAAGTAGTGAGTTATTCTTGAGGAAGACATCAATTATATAATATAGGAAAGTGATTTAATTTTTGGTCCTGTGTTTCCAACTGCACAGTTTTTGTCATGTTTAAATAGAATTCCCTACGGAACATAGAAGCTTGAGCAAATACGTAATGTCTACCATTTTCTGTAACTTTACATTGGATATACCTCATAATATTCATGTGAGATCATTCTTCCCTGCTTCAATTCTTCAAATCCTCTTCATGGTTGTTTTTTCAATAAGCATTTATTATCTGCCTAATATATGCCAGACACTGTGCTAATAAGCACTGTGGATACAAAGGGCCGTTGGAACAGTTGGAACAAATGATAAAACACAATGGGTAAGTGCTGCAATCAAGTTACAGATTGCTCCAGTAGGGGTGAGAGTAGAAACAGGGAGGCTAATGGCAGGCTATTCCA